TTCGTGGCGGGGGGGGGGGGTGTATTATACATTTCACGTTACACTCAATTTATACTGTGCTAAGCTTTTCAATAAATATTTAATTCCATATTTTGTCTCTTGCAGGCTTTACTGGAAGACAGGGGCCAGCAGCTTGGTAAAAACCCATTGTGTCATGGACAGATCTAAGGGATCAGCAACAAATTGGAAATGCTGGGTGCCCACAGCAAATTGCATGTAGGGATGGTTGGCAGTTGAGGATCTTCAGTTATAGGATAGGACAAACCCCTCCCTTAACCTTGGGGACAGCAAACAGGTTGGAACATTTATTCTTCTGGAATAGGGACTATGACCCTTTAAGAGAGAAGCTGGCTCAGGACAGGGACAAAATCCGTATGCCTTTGATGAGACTTGGACAGATTGGATAACAGAAATTGCAGAGGCAGGGAGCAAACCTCCAGTTTGTAGGCTTTGGTAACGACACGCTAAACCCAGGCATTTGGAATGTCACATGTCCAGAGTGCTAAGAAGATTGACAGTCGTCCTCCCACTTTTAAAAGTGGGAGAGCTCCTTCGCTCTAAAGAGGGCATGTTAAAGAGGGCCTAGGACTGCAGAAGTGTGAGTTAGCAGAATGAATTTCATTTTGAACTGTAATGGAACAGCATCAACATTTTCTTTTATGGAGGGTATAAGGGAAAAGGAGTGCATACATTATAAGCATGACAGACTAATTATGCATATGGTGATATGATATAGGTGGTTCCCCATAGGGTGTAGCATGCTTTATCCATTTATATTTGTGAAACTGACCAGTAGTTTGCTGTGGCTGTCCCTATTCCAACCAATGCAAAGCTGCCCTGCCACTGGCCAATTTCTATAATTCTGTCATCAAAATCTACTAGAGAAAAAGAGTACAGGCAGATGTTTTATTACATGAATAAAGAGACTGAAGATGACAGTGTAAAATATGCCAGTAGCAGGACAATTTCAAACAGCAAGACTAGGCCTAAATATACTACAGACAAAGAGCATTGGTGGGGGGTTTTCTACAAGAATTAAGATACTGCAGAGGATACGACAGTGTATAATTGGCCAACAGCAGGCCAGCTTTATTCTGGAGAAAATAGGCCAAACTGTACTATAGATAAAGTGTACAAGCACTTAGAGACCACACATCATTTTAATTAGGGATAGTAAGACTAAGTGGTGTATGGCTGTGAATGTGAGTAATGGTGCAGTGAATGTGAATAATATAATGTGAGGTGGTTTAGGTGCACAATGTTCTTGCACTTAGTTTTTTTTTTCCATTCAAACGATGCAGTGGCATGCTGCGAATAACAGGCAGCTCCAAAAACAGATGATCAGAAACAAGTAAAAATTTAGAAAAAACACAAAAGTTTCAATAACTTTTTTCAAATCAAATTCAAAAATCAATAATTTTCTTTCAATACACCACCTCTGAAACAAAAGCCCAAATTTTTTAAAGGGAAAGCCTTGCAGTAAGAAAGTTGAAACTAAAATAAAGGTCCTTTAAGCATATAATAAAAAACAATATACCCAAAAATAAATTAAACCTCCAAAATACCAACTCCTGAAACAAAAGCCTATTTTTTAAAGGAAAGCCTTGCAGCAAAAAAAAAAAAAAAAAAAAAAAAA